TCTTCCTTCCTTGTTTTTTCTATTAACCCCCAAATACCATCCACCAACACACCACGTCATTACTTGTACTCAACATATCACTTATAAGCCCACTCTACTGACCTCTTCATAAGCTACCCTTCTTCCTACTCTTCCCTTCTAATTATTTCTACACTAGACCAATCCAGCCAGCTAATCACCTACTGTCCTTATCCATGTTTTGTCTTCCCATAGTCCTTTCTACTTCTTGGGCATCCATTCATCAAGACACAAATCTATTGGTGTCATTCAAATACCATTCAACTAAGCCTTCCTTTCTGGCCATGTCCTGTCCACCTAAATGTTCTCCAGTGTATGTAATCACTGGCCCCTAAAGCTCCTATTCAGCCATCCTTTTCTCCCCCTTTCCCACACCAACTGGTTTCCCATCTGACTGCCCAGCACCTCCTCTCCTCCCACTGCGTCTGTTTCTCCGCACTCCCGCCTGAGTTGTCCATGTTAGTCTGCCTGGGCGGCTCTCACCAGCGACCACAGACACTATGAGCTCACTCCTCACCCCTCACAGGTTTGGGGCCTGGAAATACAAGTCATGGTGGTCTGGTTCTGGCGGGGATCTGCCCCCTTCTGGCTGTAGGCTGACCTCCCGGTGTGTCTTCCCAAGACTGCTGGGGAAGGGGTCCCTCCAGGGCTCCTTGATAAAGACATCGTCCCCATTCACCAAGGCTTTACTTCTCAAATCACCTTCCAAGGTCCCACCTCCTCCCACCACCTGGGGCCAGGATTCTACGTGTAAGCTTCCGGAGACTGGCATTTCCTGTTATCCATTCAGATGCCTTTCTTTCCTCGATCTTTTTCTTCCAGTGACCTGTTTTGTTCACTGGTGTGGCCTAATCAACCCGCCCACCCCGTGGCATCCTCCCTCGATCCCTTCCAGATGTTTACCATCCATCCATCCAACAGCTACACACATTTGTGAAAGACGAGTCCATCTACTCATCTACCTGCCCTCTCATCCGGTGTCTTTGTCTTCTTTCCATCTTTGCTTGGACTCGCATGGCCACACCTCCAGTACCCGTCCCCTCTTCCTCAGCCATGCCCTGTGTCACCTTTTGACCCCGCGCATGAGCACCATGCACCATCTGCCCACCCGCCCTCCATTCTTGTGTGACCACAAGCTGTGCAGTATCCCAAATCTGCCCACCCCACAATCTCCAGCAACGGCTGTTCTATTGATCAAACCCAAATCCTTGAAGCCATATCAAATCTCATTCTTTCTGTGGCTGTGTGTCTAATGTGGCTCCAGACAGGGATCTGTCTCCCTTGCTTGCTGCTATGCCGGGCCAAGCCGTGCAGAACTGCTAAGCTGGTCTCTTCACTCTTAGCTGGACTCTGCTTGCCTGTCAGTGTGGCCTTATCTGGCAGCTAGAATCGCTGTGACAACTTGTCCGATCCCCCGTTCTTTGCCACCCTCAGTCACTCTGAGAAGCTCCGCGTGGTCTGGGGGTACACAGTCCCCTCGGCCCCCTGTGACACCTCTTGTGTGGCATAGGACCACACTGAGCTCTGCCTTTGTCTTTATTCAAACATCCACTCAGTAGGGCTTCCCCAACCACAGGGGCACCCCACCGCACTCTTTCCCCTCACCCCTTCAAGGCTTTCGTTTGGTGTTTGTGCAGGGACTAGAGCGGAAATCAGGACCAGGGAGCTCTCTGCTGAGCTAGCCACTTGAGCCACAACTCCACGGCCAGCTTTTCGTTGGCTATTTGGAAATAAGAGTCTCACAGATTTTCCTGCCCTGGCTGGCTTTGAACTATGATCCTTAGATCTCAGTGCCTGGCCTTCAGTTGATGAGCTCACCAATCTGTATCCATCTACCTGCCATGGGGCCAAACCCTGACTTACCCAGCACCCCTTCCATTCACCCATTCACCCTTCCCGCATGCCGTCATCAATTGATTGACCTGCTGTCCACAGGTACTGCCCTACAGTGCAGCAGTGCGCATGCACAGCACACCAGCCTCCATCCATCCCGCCTGCGCTTTCAGGTTCTACCTTCATCTGCCCACAGGCCCCACAGAACAGGCATGCAGTATGTACCCACCCTCTCCTGTCCCGTTCTGTGTGTGCCCTACATGCCCCGCCCACTGCCCACTCAGCCAGCATGCCCCCACGCCCCCCTGCCACCCACCTGCCCTGCCCACTCAGCCAGCATGCCCCCCACGCCCCCCTGCCACACGCCATGCCCACTGCCCACTCAGCCAGCATGCCCTGTCCCCCCCGCCACAGGCCATGCCCACTGCCCACTCAGCCAGCATGCCCCCCACGCTCCCCTGCTGTCCACCTGTCCTAGGACTACTCAGCAGAGCTCCTGAAGGTCCTCTTCTGCTCATCTGCTGGGCATCTCTGGGTCCATCTAATGCCTGTTCAGACATCTACCACCGTCTGGCACATCCTCCTATTTGCCAGTCCCACCTAGGTGGCTACCCTACCCCCCTGGCCAGTGGAACACCGGTTCTACTCCTCCAGTGCGAACCCACAAATCTGCTCAGCTCTCCCCCTCCCTGGGTTCATTCCCCCGTCCACCCTTCTGTCCCACGCACAGATCACACACTCCTTCCAGTCCAGCGGCCTCCAGAGTGTCCCTTCCCCTAGTCTGCATCATCGCCCACCACCATCTGCATCCACTCGATACCCGGACATGCTCTGGCTTCTTCTCTCTGCTCCATCCACTCTGAACATCCAGAGCCTCCATCGCTCCTTCCCGTATCCCAAGGGTCCGGCCAAGATGTCCTAGGCAAAGGTTAAGCCAGCAGGGCAGAGCGGCTTGACGGAAAGACCAGGAGCATTTACACCCCCTCCACAGGACCCTCATGAACGTTATGGCTTGTGGCAACCATTTAGGTCAGGGATGAATAGAAGTGGGGGCTAACTGGGGAGAGGAAGCAGGCAAGTGGGCAGAGGAGACATGAGGAGGGTGAGCACACCAATGTGCAGTCTGTGCACACATGAAAATGTCATCAGAAAACCCATTCTTGTATGCAACTAATATGATTAACTTAATCAGATCCTTCCTGCCCCAAGGATCCAGGAAGAAACAAGAGATGCTCCAGGAAGGCTTTCAGAGGAAACCTGGCCTTGCTGACACCTTTTTTTTTTTTTTTTTCCTGGTCATGGGGCTTGAACTCTGGGCCTGGGCGCTGTCCCTCAGCTCTTCAGCTCAAGGCTAGCGCTCTACCACTTGTGCCACAGGCCCATTTCCAGCTTATGTGATGCTGAGGAATTGAACCTAGGGCTTCATGCATGCAAGGCAAGCACTCTACCACTGAGCCACCTTCCCAGCCCAGTTGAAATACTTGTCTTTAGCCTTTGTTGTTGTTGATGATGATGCTGATGATGATTATGGAGGTTGAACTCTGGGCCTGGGCTGTCCCTCAGCTCTTCAGCTCAAAGTGAGCACTCTACCACTTGAGCCACAGCACCATTTCTGGTTTTCTGGTGGTTTACTGGAGCTAAGAGTTTCATGGACTTTCCTGCCCAGGCTGGCTTTGAACTAAGATCCTCCCATCTCAGCCTCCTGAGTAGTTAAGAATACAGGCGTGAGCCACCATGTGATCTTTTCATCAGAACAACTTTCTCTAGTGCTTTCTCTCCCCCACTCACCCTCTGTGGATCAACTGTTTTACTTCAGGTTCTTTTTTTTTTTTTTTTAAGACCAAAGGGTGAGAGAAGGCTGTTCATTTTCACCTCTGCTATTCTAGACGATTCTAGAAGCTTCTCTGGAACAGACGCTGTGCCAGTGACAGCACTATAGAGCCAGTAGCTCACAAAGTCCTTCCCCAGGCCTGGCAGGCAGGGCTGTCCTGTGGAGAGCTTGTCTGAGGTGAGGCTGCCCCTGTGCCACAGAACAGCCCCCAGGACCGGCCGGTGGGCCTCGGCCTGCACATCGTCACTCCACGCTGGCCGCTGCCGGTTCACGCTGATTTGTTGTGGAGAACAGCTGGTGAAATAGTGATGTGAGCAATTAGTGGGCAGCGTCTACTGCAGGACTCATTCCAAGCGCCAGAGGGAAACAGGGTTTTACTAACAATTAAAACTAATCCAATCGAAGGTGGACTCAACCTCTCTGGAGAGGACTGCGGAACTTAGAGGACATTTTAGGTTAATTCCAGGTTAGTTTGTATGTGTGTGTGTTCTGGTCCTTGGGCTTGAACTCAGGGCCTGGGTGCTGTCCCTGACGTTTTTGGCTCAAGGCTAGCGCTCTATCATTTGAGCCACCACTCCACTTCCAGTTTTTTGTTTTGTGGAGATTTTTGGTGCTTAATTGGAAATAAGAATCTCACAGACATTCCTGTCTGGGTTGGCTTCAAACTGTGATCCTCAGATCTCAGCCTCCTGAGTGGCTGGGATTGTAGGTGAGAGCCACCAGTGCCCAGCTAGAGGAGATTTCAAATAGTGGTGACACACCTTTTTCTCAGAAAGGAAGATGGACAGGCCAGGCCTCAGCTGCTCATACCTAGAATCCTCCTAGCACCTCAGGATGCTGAGATCTGAGGATCAAGGTTCAAAGCCAGCCTAGACAGGAAAGTCCATAAGACTCTTACCTCCAATTAACCAGCAAAAAAGCTGGAAATGAAGCTGTGGCTCAGGTGTAGAGTGCCAGCCTTGAGCAAAACACAGAAGCACAGGGCCCAGGTCCTGAGTTTAAGCCTCATGACACAGACAGACAGACAGACAGACACATACACACACACACACACGGAAGACAAAATTCAGTGAGGGCCACGCCAGTCCCCCACATCCACTAGAAGCAGGGCAGTGCCCCATGCTTCCTCGCCTTGCAGAATTCCGCGTGACCACATGGGAGGGGGGGTTTTGGAATAACACACTAAACGCTTCCCGGGAAAGTCTCACGCTTCCCAACAACCCTGTGGTGGTCACAACCAGAAAACTGGCTGGAGATCGGGCCACGGTCTCCAACCGCCCCCCGCTGACCTCTGTCCTGCCGCCTCCCCCGGCCACAGGTTCGAGACAAGAAACTCCTGAATGACCTGAACGGAGCAGTGGAGGACGCCAAGACCGCCCGGCTCTTCAACATCACCAGCTCTGCGCTGGCGGCCTCCTGCATCATCCTCATCTTCATCTTCCTGCGGTACCCGCTCACCGACTACTGAGACGCTCACTGCGATGCGGAGCCCGTGAGGCCGGCCCGAGGGGGGGTCGCCACCCGGGGACCCCACAGCCGTGACCGGCGCAATGCCAGGGGAAGCTGAGTGCCCCCAAGAGCTCCAAGCCTGTCCCCGCCACCGCGCCCTGCCAGTCCCGGGGCCCCGGGCTTGTTCCATGCTGTCGCCCTGGCTTCCAGCGGCTGCCCCACCTGCCCCGCGCACCCTGCCCGCACTCCCGGACCCCTCATACCCGGTACCCAGCAAGAAGGGCTTTTGTGGGAGCTCCCAGGATAGGGGCTGCCAGCATCTGGGACCCCCTCCCTCTGCCCCTCCTCTCCAAGCTGTGACCCTGCTCAGAGCCCTTGTATCTGGACTGTCAATAAAACACCTGTCCGCTCACCCGGCCTCCGTCCACGCCTGGGCAGGGATAGAGGGCTCTGTAGGTTTGGGGGCTCCCTCAGCTTCCGGCCAGGGTGCTGACCCCAGCTGTGGATTTTGCAGGCTTGCTCCTCTGTGCAGATGTGTCCTGACACCAGGGTGTGTGTAGGGGTGGGGGGGACGAGAATGGAGGGGCTGCGGGTGGAAGGAGCCCAGGCGTGGGCAGCGCTGGCGGGCAGGAGGGGAAGTGGTGGCAGGAACGCCACGCTGACGGCGAGTGAGAGCCAGGCCGGGCAGACAGCCCGGGGAGGTGCCCAGCGCCGCGGCCGGCGCCGGACCAGTTCCTCATCCGTAAAAGAAGAAATGGCTTCCATTTCCCACAGTCATTAAAAAGCCAACGGAAAGTTCAGAAAGCTAGACAGCGTGATGGCACACTTCTGCAATCTCAGCTTTTCAGGAACAGGAAAACCAGGTGCACGCGAGGCCGTGGGTTCAAACCTCAGTACAGTCTCCTATGGGGACTGTCCCCAGGGGACAGAGGGCACAGAGCTGTCACCTCAGAGGCCGGGCTGGTGAGAGGCTCTTGTGGGATGGAGGCCAGGCCGGGGTGGAGGCCGGGCTGGCGCGAGGCTCTTGGGCTGGGGTGGAGGCCAGGCTGGCGTGAGGCTCTTGTGGGGTGGAGGCCGGGCTGGGGTAGAGGCCGGGCTGGCACGTGGCTCTTGTGGGGTGGAGGCCGGGCTGGTGCATCTCTACCTCACACAAAGGCAGGCAGACCATGGGCCTAGAAGCAGTGACGGAGGCTGCAGCACACACAGTGGCCTCATGTTCTCTGTCGGCCTCTGGCTCATGGAGACTGGCTGGGAGGGAATGGGAGTGGGGAGAGGCTGGGGTGAGGGTGTTGAGGCAGGGGAGAGGCAGTTGGCAGGGCCGGGCCGGGCAGGGTTGGTTGGACAGCTGAGGGCACAACAGGGCTGTGGACAAAGAAGGGGAGAAGAGGCAAACTGAGACCCCACATGGAGAAGGGGGACAGGAGACCTGGGCTCGGGAGCATTGGGACAGCTTGTTCTGTCACGAGGACAGGGGG